CATGACAACTAATTTTTGGGGGACAAACACGTTATATTGAAGAAAGTTCAAAATACGAATGTACCTTTTTTCTTGCCTACTATACCTAAACCCATTCACGCCTACCTGATCTGACTACGCCAATCGGTGGAGTATATCGTGCCCTTTCATATGTATATTTTAAACTTTCTTCAATATAACGTGTTTGCCCCCCCCCAAAAAAAAAATTAGTTGCCATGACTTTTGGAGTACCCCTCGTATTATCAATTTGTTTGGCACAGAAGAATCAAGAAATGCACCCCTAAAATCATTTTGGCAATTTTATTGGTAACGAGATGCAAGGACAATGAACACTCGTTGCACTGCGATTATTGAAAGGTAATGGATCGACTAGCGCTAGCAGGTTGTAACATGACAAGCCTTGCTTGGGCTCTGTCCTATAGCCACAGCGATAGCTTTATTTATCCAATCGGACTGTTGAATCGCGGCAATGAATAACAGTTTTATTATGGGCTGGGTGTTATTTTTCGGTCAATTTGTATTGTGAAGGATTGTTACTGTAAGCGAAGACAGAGGAAAGTTGTTGATGTAATTATCGATATGTTGTAAAGGACATTCTGCTCAGACTGGACACTAGGTGGGCGCAAAGCCTGTCTGGTTGAGGCGGCGAAGATATAAGCTGACATTTCCGGAAGCAGACCGGCATCTGTTTCCACCCACGCTCGCCTCGACTTGGCGGATGTATCAAGGAGCAGCCTATTGTTTGCCTAGTCCAGTAAATCTGTTGCTAAGGTTGCTTTTTGTATACTTTTTAGAGGATGGTTTGTCTTGACTTTGCTAGGGGTATTTTTCGAGCTTGTGTTGGATATCTGAAGTTAAGTTTCTCTTGTTTCCATAGGTAAAAATTGGTGATGGTTCATCTTGGCTTTGTTAGGATAGGTTTGATCTTGTTTTGTCTTGGATTTGTTAAGTTTGGTTTGGAGTTTCTCTTGGCGGTTTACAATTAAATTTGATTCTGGCTTGTTAGGTTAGATTGAGTTTGGAGTTGGTTTGAATTGTTACAAATTTTCTTTTGGCATTAGGTTTATTTCTTACTGTTCTGACCTGGTTGGTTACTGGTTCAGTCAGTTGATTAATTAATTAGCTACTAGTCTTCTCAAAATATATTGTTTCACATAATTGATAGTAGCTCAAAAATGATTTTTTTTCAGCTCTACTACAAGACTGCCTGGCTAGAGCTTTCGCCTGTTCTGTTTCTCCATATTTCATTACACATATAATTTAATACAAGTGAGATTTACGGTTGTTAAAGCGTATGAGAATTACCAACGATTTAAACTTATAATGGCAAATGATTTCTACAGGGCGTGCAAGCCTTTCGACTTTCCATACTTTAAGGGGATTTGCCCACAGGGCTTGCTTCTTGCTGCGATGGAAATCACTGAGCTTCTACCATCTCAGGTTAGATCACCCAGATTTTGAGAAACACCATCAAATTTGTTAAATCGTTACCTTAATCTTTCTTCGACAACGATGGATAAATACCAGTGATATTATACACAGGGTCGTAAATATGGAAAAAGAACCTTCTAAATCTTTACATTTTTATAAAGATGTTTTTTATCTGAAAGCAAAAGTAGCATTGCAACGGCACAAAATATTTTCAATAACTCGGTTGTTACGTATTATTGAAAAAATAGTTAATTATTTTGATAGTGTTTTTATCATTTTCATTTGTTATTTTTCAGTTCTATAACATCTCGAAAATAACTTGTTTTTAAAATAATCTCAACCATACCAACATTCTGTTTATCGCCTATAGTGTTTCCTTTGTTTATTTTCCCCCATTCAATGCCGAGGTCTTGAACTCATGTAATTTCATTTCCACGCCTCCTTCAAGCCCATAAAATGGTGTTAAGACATAGAGGTTATTTTTCATTATCCTTTCGTTTAGAAGAGCCCTATTTTTAATTGTCATTCTCCATTTATTTTTATTTCGCTTCTACGTTATAACTTGCTGTTCCTTCTAGCTTAAGGAAACAGACCCCGACAATATGACACTTTAATCCCACGCTCCATCTAAGTTCTCTGCTTCCGTATTATTTCCTTCCTGGTTTTCTTGTTACTACTCGTCCATTCATCTTCCAGCGTTCTTTCTTTATAACTTCCCTCCATTTGCCATTATATCTCATTGTATCAGACGCAGACATTTTTTGAGACAGAAGAGGGATTTATTTCAAAGTTTGTGTTTAAAGTGTCTGCATAACAAGTCCTCCGAACATTGTGTTCCTTCGTATAAAAGTTATTTTACCTCTGATAATTCTTTTATTTCATGGATCGTAACAGCTTTTAAACAGAGGCTTTGTACCAAGATCTGATTGACTGATTGGCCTCTAGGTTATGTGCGTAATTAGTGAGGATATGTAAGTTGGTCCTTTGTCGCCATAGCATTGATCGTCCTTCGCTTATTGATGTAGACAGCCTGTGAGTTTTTTATTTTCTCCATTCTGGGGTTTGAGTGTCGGCTTCACAATTCTTGACCTATAGACTTTAACAAAGAGCTCAGGATTTGATGGATTTTTTTGATTGATCAAAGCAGTTTCTGAACAGCATATGTTTCGGAAACCTCTGAAAATGTACAGGTGGAAAGCTTTGAAGTGGATGGAAGGGTAATTTTAAAATGGTTATGATGATCAGAGGCAAATAGAATTGGTTCAGGTTCATGTCCAGTAGTGGGTATTGAACATTAAGATTTTATTAATATGTTCTTATTTAGGGAATTATATTTATTTTATTAAATATTTAATTACATTTTGAGGTGAATTATCGGCCGTGCCGAACAGCTGTAGAAGTTGACCCATGCGCCCGTTTGTCTATACATGTAGAGCAACAAGTGGATGGCTGAACGAATTTCTTTAAAATTTGACATTAAGGAGTTATACAAAAAATTGTCAGGGCATTTCATTTGTCATGTAGGTTGGTTAATTTGAATGAGCATTTTTTTGTGACTCTTTTATATAGCATTCTTCGTATTAGTAGCGCGTTTTTTCATATGGACTGCTTTTGTTTAAATTTAATGCTGAAGGTCCTTGCTTGTCCTTTCAGCCTGAAAAATGTACAGTTGGCAATAAATCTAACGTGTCAGGACTGTTAAAACTGCGTAGACCCCATATTTCTGAACGCCATTATGCTCTTGCTATCAGTCAGTACTTTTAAACATTTCTTTTTCTTTTCATTAACAATTCAAATTAGTTTAAGCTTATACTATATTAGAGTTTGTCAAAAATGAAGTATTCAGCTAGAAAACTATTGTGTGTTCACTTGCAACCTCCTAAGCTACCGATGTTAGGTAGGTCTAGGATACATCGATATGGCTTCAAAAGTTTTTGTTCAGCAAGCTATCACGTGACTTATTTTGCTTTGATCAACTGTGGCATCCACGGTCCATGTGCCACACTGCAGTTCTCAGATTACACTTCAAGGCATGTTACACGAAGTTCAGCCAGCCACACGAATGGTAATATTCCGAAAGCTAACTTTGTGCGAATAAGAACTGAAAATAGACCAACCAACTATACACAGTGGTTGATTCGAGATAATTCATGCGAATTTTTTTGGAGAAATATTTTTGGAGATGATGTTGATGCGACTATTCATAGTCGGGTTTTTTTCATAAATCTTTAATATATCGAAACCTTAAAATCATAACGGGTCGAAAGATGGGTCTGCCTTCGAAACGTGGTGATTTTTTTTAAGATAGTAAGATTTTCAAAAAAGCTTTTTAAACAACAGAAGATGGATAAAGTCCAAAACAAAATAAGTGGTGGGACTACGGTATCAGCCCCACTCCCCACTTTTTTATCCCCCAAGGTTCCCGTGACAGTCATTCCACCATTTCTGACCGTGCGTCGCTGCCTTTGAGACGCGCTACACACTTGTCGCATCTGAGAGCCTCAGTCGAAGTTTCACCTCTGACATTTCAGTTGAACTGGGGCGAGGAATCTTTCAGAATACATTAAGATTCTGTGTTCATTAATTTAATTACGTCTACTGAAGAAACAGTAGTCGTGGTAGTCATTAACAAAATTCTCATGGTGTCTGATGAGTCGTTACTTGTTGCGGGTTGCCTAATAGGTTCTCGCTTGGTAGTCAAATGAAGAGGTTTACGTATAGGCTTGCGAGATCAGTAGCTCCCTGGAAACAAGAAATACACAGTGAGGTTTTGCAAAGAAACTTCATAAAGCGACATATTCAAATAACGGAAAGGAAAAAATAATATAAGCAGAAACAAGTAATGACATTGATCAACGTATTGATGGAATTAAATTTGTGTTGTTCTAAACTAAGTATGCTGATTAATTAATATATTTTATATCCAGGGAATCGTGCTAGACTAAATTATTTCGCTTATGACATGTCCATAAAGTGTTCGTAGGCCCAAATGGAGATGTTTGTATCTCTGTGTAGAGCACCATCAGCATTACGTCCTGGTATATCACAATATTTTATATTGTTAGACTATATATCTAGCGGTTAGAACGCTGGCCTTGTAATCCTGGGGTCTCGGGTTCGATTCCCGGCGGTGCCCGAATTTATAACTTGTGTTGGGCAAGGCCATGGTCTAGGCAACACGGAGTTTTCCTCCGGGGGCTTCCCCGGTTTCTCCGTGGCATCCCAACAATTACTCCATTCACACACAGAAGAAGGCAATGGCACACCACTTCTGGATCACCTGCCAAGAACGTATATGAACAGGTCCCAGTCCGAGAAAAGGATGGAAGGATCTTGTTCATATGGACCTGTCGTCAGACAGAACACTAAATAATAATAATATCTCAGATTATGAAAATTTGTTGATCCGTCTTTCTGGCATGGTGCCTAGAATACGTACAAACTGATAATAAAAAAGATTCATTGTAGCAGAAAGTGTAATGGCACAGGCCTGCGACAATGAACAGAATTTGAAAGTCGAGGAATATAATGACGATTTGAGGATACGATTGAATAGGATGTTCTTGCAGGATGGACGCAGTCAATGAAGAGTCAGACCCGTCTTCCTACTACCTGGCGCTTTACGGGCTCATCTCCTTCCTTCTCGTCATGCTGATCGTAATGTTGCTGTATGTGGCTTGCTCCAAGAAGTACAGACTCAACTGGTTCGAGAAGAATCTCCTAGAAGCTGCGGAGACAACGCAGATGAGACACAGGTAAGGCAGTGTGACCGCCCGTGGCTCGGCCTTTTCGACGCCGCTTATGACCGATAAGACAGTCCACCATTTATAACCGACCGTAACCGATCAGTGTCGCTCTTAAGTTCTTGCCTCGACAGTCACTCAGGTATGATTTAATCCAAGTCGTGAAGTCTTGAAGGTGGAGGTCTTCTGAGTTGTAGAGCCGTGTATTCTGGTAGAAGTTTACCGACGTTTCAGAGGGCCTTGCTGCTTCTGTCATCAGGGCGATGATTTGTCTTCCGCTAAAAACAGAATTAAACACCAAACACGTACCGATATTATTTTAAATATCTCAGTCGCAAAACTATGCCGTCCTTTCCTCTATTGGGCTAGCCAGCTTCTTGTCTGCACCATTTCAAAAACGTTCTCAGAATCTCCGTGATCTTTGCTGTACCCTTTGCCGCAAAAGTGTATTCTGATGTTGTTATATAAATAATAAAGAGGAATAAACAATGTGACATGTTTTGAACAAAAACATTTTCTAGAAATAGGACCAAATAGAAAAGGTAATATTTAAAGTACAAAATTAATTACACAAAATAAACGGCAAGAATCAGGAATTTGGGCAAAGCAGCAGCACAAAAACTGAAATAATAAAATATAAACTAACATTATGTGGTTTGAGAAGTTAATAGTACCATCAGATACTCAAATTACAATATTTTATGGAGCCCGAAAGTTCTTTACCGTTTTCACAAGAGCCCGTCAACTGTTCCTATCCTAAGCCAGATGAATCAAATCCACACACTAGAATACTATTTCACTTACATCCATTTTAATATTATCCGCCCATCTGTGCCTATGCTCATTGCAGGAAAAAAATTACCCAGCGGTACGATAAGTGTGTATCTTCACCTGAACTGTGTACAACAGTAGTTTACGACAGTGGTATTCAACCATTTTTTGTTCGCGTACCCCCAGATATAATTTCTCTTCAACTTTGTACCCCCAAAGTTGTTGGTGTATAATTCAAGTTATACAGAGTATATAATCTACATCTAAAATAAATTAAATAAATTGCATTACTGATTATTCAGTGTTTATCATAAAATAATATATTTTTTTTAATTTCACGTACCCCCTAGGATTTCTTCGCCTACCCCAGGTTGAATACCACTGGTTTACGATATATACGATTGCGTTGGTGAAATATCGATATTCGCGTCAGTGGAATAAAAATGTCTTAAAACTTGGCGAATTCTGGTGGTCATTCTATATACTACCCGGCTACGTCAACTTTAAATGCGGGAAGTATGCGAACTAATGAAAGTGTTGTGGTGGGGGAATGAGATTCGCGTGTTGGCTGTCACATCCCGGTACAACTGTAATCGCGGGTAAGTTTATTTCATTGTTTTTATGGAGCGATAATTGACATGCGTCGGGAAAACCTTGTAGCACTTGACGGTGAGTCATTCAGTTCCAACCGGGACCCGGAAAGTGACAGTTTCGTTCAACTTTATCAGCGAACGCATTGTACCTTTTTCGATCAGGAAAAGTCAAATGGAAATTTGAAATTTCCATTTAGAAATTCAACAAAATGTGCTTCTGCAACAATCAGAAACAAATTAAAAATAAAGAAAGAAGCCAGCATGGAGAGCAAAAGCGGAGAGAAATTAAATTTACCTGGTGCAATATGTAAACCCAGTTTTAAAAGAATCGAAATTGATGACTTTGATTTTTGTGTAATCAGATAATTCACACTTTTTACGCCTTCCAAGAGAAATTCCAGCATTAAAAACTATATCATCCATCTTGAAAGAAATTTAATTTCCTGGAGTCAAGAAGTTTGTAACTGCCCCCTCACGTTGGGTATCACTAAGGGAGATAGATGGTTATGTCCCGCTCTGAGGTCAGGGCTGGATGTGTTGTTGATCGGGATAGAAGTCCTTCCGGGATTAGTGAGTAATAAATTTTAACAAGGAACTCTAGTAACTGTCCGGGTTTGTTATTGGAACGTCTCCTCAACTTTATCGCTCACTACAAATTCTTGAATCCACACACTTTACCACATCAGGGTCTTGACCCTGCAGTCGAAATTATCTCAAAATAACTTGAGCAGAAATCGAAACTGATTGACTCAATTTATTGTACCAAAGAATATTTATACAGTTCGTTTATATATTCTATTTTTGACGTAAATACGTCTATATTTTAGGGTCAGTGTCATTCGGCAAAAAGTGGAACGAAAAAGTGTAACTGCATTGTTATGTTACCTTGGAAACATCATCAGTTTACTCAGTATTGTTGTTACCTATAAAACATTACCTTACCTTACCTTACATTACATT